TTTCTTTTTTTTTTTTTTCTATTTCTGAGTAAGTACAGTAGAGCCATTATCTGAGAGGCAAGGTTTTGTTTTCCTTCTGAGGGCTTCTCCGTGGCAGCTCGGCGGTGCTGGGAGCCGAGCCGAGCCGGCCGCTGAGGCTGATGAACGCCCAATTGTTGTCCAAGGGAGGATCTTCTCCTCGTAGGGCAGCCCCAAACCACCAAGTGAATTTTTTGCTCCCTGGAGCGGGCGGGTGTCGGGAGGGTGGAGCGCTGGCGTGGTTCGGCGGAGCATCCTGAGAATAGAGCGCTGAAATCTGTGCGAGGGCTGCAGCCGCTGAGGTTGGAGTCGGGCGAGGGAGATTGAGGGAGAAATTCTCAGTTTAAGGAGGAGGAAAATGGAAAAGTACGTTGCTCGTTTAATTTCACCCTCCTTGTCATTTATTGAAAGGCACCCAGAGTCAGTCGAGGCCCGTAAAGGTTAATTGTATCCTTCATACAAAGGAATTTGCCACCTTCCAAAGAACTATGTTTCTGGGGTCTTTTTTGAAGTTAGGACATTCATTACATTTCTAATTTAAGTACTATGAAACTCTCGCTTTTTAAATTTTCAGTTCCTACTCTTGCTTTGCAGTTGCAAGTTTTTTAAAAGTCATCTTTATGTAGACATAACTACATAGATGTTAAAAAAATAAATAAACCAGAAAGCAAGCCATACATGAAGGTGATTATGAAAGTACTTTAAATGTGTGTAGATAAGTACAAAATGTTTTAGCAATATTTTCAGTCTACTAAGTATAAATAAGCCTTTTTACATTTTATGTGGATAACCATGAACCTGTTCTTCTAGAAATACTTTTATCTTTTCTGTGATTTTCTTCCCCTGCATTTTAGACTAACTTACAACTTCAATCATGCCTTTCAATTGTTGTAGTGATAAGCAATGCTTCAAAGCCTCAAACCTCTGCCATTTATGATGATAATCCAAATAATTCACCTGAGAGGAAAAAAAATTTTTTTGAAGGTCAAGCTTCTGTTTTTATAGTGATTTCAAAATGAACAGAAAAGTTTGCCTCATAATTACAGATTTTCTTGATTGATTTGTTGTGTAGTAATATGTCAGGGACAACCTCCAATGTTTGGAGATTATCCACATGCACTCAGGGAAAGGAACAACAAAATAGTGGGGAAAAAAGGGCAATAATTTCGTGATTATTAGCCTTACACTTTTTGGTACGCATTTTATTTCTAAGTGTACGGCTGGTTTAGTGATTATAGGCCTCCTTCAAGGCATGTGTTTACATGAAGAGGTTGAATAGAGTGAGTGATTTATGGATTAAGAGCCTAGGAATTATGGCACAGTGTTGACGGATGCTAGGTAGCGCTTTGGTTTGTGCTTTTAACAGAGTTACAGTGGCAGGGATATCAGTGAAAAGAGACTGGAAATAAGCGGAAGCAAGTAGAAATCACATTGCCTTAGAAGTAGAGATGACAGTGTGAAATGTGATCTGGGTAGCATTGGGCATGTCTTGTGAGTGATGAATGCAGAAATTAAAATGACTTTGATGCCAGAAAAAAAGAAGAAAATGCTAGACTGCAATAGGGAGCTAGTGTTACGATGTTCTGTGTAAAGCATTTTAAATCACATTGGAAAATGCAAAACTGATACCAGAGGACCAAAAAGGAGAAGGATGTAGTTACTCACAGTTAGTACTGCCTCCTTAGCCTCTGGCAACAACTTTGTAATCTTTGCGAGGTCTTCTTAGAGTTCAAAGATTGTGCATCTGCTGCTCAGCAAAATATTCACCTGATGTGTTGTTTCAGAATTTCCTTTACAGGCTCATTAACATAATTTGTTAGTCTTTTGCCTGTAGACAAGGTTACATCTCATGGTTCAATAGCAGTGTGTCTGCAAGGGTGTGTTCATAAAACATTTGTAAATATTACTGAATGCTCTAAAAATCATAAAAGACTTCTATGAAGAACTTGAGAGGTCAAGTATGATAAACTGGCATTTATATTATGATTATAAAATTATTTTTTCTCTTGGGATAAGCCCTCAATAGCGTAATGCTTGAATGTGTCACAAGAAAATAATTAGAATTACTGCATGAAATAATTAAAGGCCAGCTTCAGCTTGAACTGGGGGACTAATGTAGCTTGAAAGAGAACAAAAAAATGAACCACCTTATCCTTCAATTGTTGACGTATCTAATATGACTTGTGGCAGAATTCCAATTCTGAGTAGAGCATTGAGAGCTGAAGAGTCTACCAGGTTCACTTCACTAAAATCCCCGTTCCTCTAGAACTTTCAGTTATTGTTGACAGTGAAATGAGTGGCAGAGATTGAGGCTGTGTTTCAGTAAATCAGCTCTTGAGACAAAAAATCCTGAGTTAATGACTTAATAGATTTGTTACATAAGAATATGCTAATTGGGCTTAAATAAACATTTACCCCATACCATTTTTTTGTTTTAGTGCAATCTTATTTTTGAAGAGATAAGCGCCTTTAGAGAATCAGGTTATATCCCAGAAAAGAGCAAACAATACTGTTGCTGTTAGAACACATAGTACCTCTGTTATAGCTACCTAATAACGTTCTCTTCCTCTCAATATATAACTTTTCACCTAGAAATATTTGTTGGTAATGTTGTTTCCAGTGGAAATCAGTTCCTTCCTATTTATGTACTAAATCCCTGAGATCAGAAAACTGGTGCTTTTCGTGCAGTTAGTCTCGTTACCCCACTGTCAGTTCTTTGCTGAAGACGGAGATGACTTAAATACTACGTCAAACTGTTTTGTGAGTTTGCTGTTGCAGAATAGCCACTATTACCATTTAATATGTAGCCTTAACCTGGGTTTTCAGTCATGGCTTGTGGTGGATAGTGGCAGGAGGAAGGAGGTATTACATTTACTCTTAGTTGTCATTTTGTGATCTATCTTTAAGACATATACCTGTGACCTAACAGGAACAGCAAAATGCAGTGGTGGCATTAAAGTGGGTTATTGACCACCCTTTTAGTCTTAGATGTGCAAGTGTATACCTTGTCTGTGCCATTTCATTTGCCCAGGGACACTGAGAGAACATTGCAAATAGTCAGTACTAGATCTTGTCTTAAAAATACTTTCTACCTAGGCTGCAGCGCCACCCCATCTAATAAGCAGAAGTATCATCTGAAACGCCTCATCTTGCTGTATGGTCTCAAAATGCGTTACACTACACTGAATGTCAAGAGAAGGAAGTGGTGTTACCACATAGATAATTTGTCCAGCTGGAAACTCATGAATTCCCAGGAAAGTTTACACTTTACTTTCTCCTCCCCTCTGACAGTTTAAGCAGCTGTTCTAATCAAAGAGCTAGGAGGGTGCTCTGGATTAAAATATTGTCATTCCTTGGGTTGTGATGACTTTCTTTGCCTAATATGTATGTAAAGAGAGAATGAAACAAACATTTTTGTAGAAGACACAAGACCTGAGTTAGATAGGGATAGAGGAGCCTAATCTCCAAGGTGCTTCAATCTTCTCCTAGTCCCTAAAATAACATGAACTTTGAAACTGTATTCAAATTCTTACTTACTATTTTTAGATAAAACGAAATCTTTTTGGAGGACTGCTAGATTCTCTGAAACTATTCAAGATCTTTAATGTGATTTTTTTTTTTTCATTCTTTCTCTTCTCTCTCCCTCCACCTAGTTTTAATGGGGGCAATCTTGAACAAAGGCAAAATGCAGTAGTAACACGATGTGCAAAACCGAATCCTGGCTACTACCTGCTGTGGCATTTAATAGTCTGGTCTGTTCTCATTTTTGTTCTTTTAAATGCAGATTTTAGCTCTTCAGTTCCTTCTAGGCAGGATGGGCCATTAGGAACTTAAACATTGTGCTTAAACTTTCCAAGTGATCTAGGACACTCTAAATCTGTGTAGCCCTTAAGTTTTTTCAGAATTCTCAGCAGCCTATGCAAAATCAAACTTTGTTTCCACTAGATGAAAGGCTGGTGTAGAGCAGCCGCTGCACTGGGGAAAAGTGGCTGGAAGGGAGGTCGTTGCCCATTTCCACCTCAGTTTTGCAACTCTCCTTGTGGCAGGGAGACCCCCTGGACAGCTGGTTTCTTCACAGCTGCAGTCTGTGCCATCTGGGCTT